AATCCTGCACCCTGCCCCACCCCAACTGGGCAGCACCTGCCCCAGCAGCACTCCCTCTCTCACTGCAGGGGCCTTGATCTGCTCCCCCACGCCCCTTCCCTCCCCCCTTCCCTTCCCTTCCACCACAACAGACTTACCAGCTGCATGCAGCTGTATTGGAAATCAGATTGGTATCGGCCAATATTCCTCAAAAATTGGCTATCGGTATCAGCCCCAAAAATCTGTATCAGTGCACCCCTAGTAATAAATCCATTAATTTCCTGTAATTTCTAATTTTAGATGTAATTTGTTAAATGGGTAGGATTGCATTAATGTCCGTTAATGATTCCATGCAGTCAAACACATATGTATTGGTTTTGTAACTGCTACAAATCTCGTCTCCAGAGCTTTTATGTAAGACTGCATGGTATATCATTCCTTACTCTGTTATTAGATAGTATTTATTAGTATTTCATAATAAATATATTTTAATACAGTTTAATACATTAATCTTCAATATACTAACTTTACTTATTCTTAGACTGGTCAGAACATTGTGCAACAACTTACCAGCAAGATGGAGCTTGGACTTACTTCACACAGATAGTATCTTGTTCTCCGTGGGTTTTGTACATCTTTGCACTAGTGTGTTCTCATACTTCATGGGCTTCATTGTTACTAATCATTCAGCTTTATCAGGTACCTTTTTGTTTTGTTTTATGTGCTTTTTTTGAGGGTTTTCAAATCTGTTTTTTTCCTGGAGGACTTTCCAAGAACTCCCTTGGCCTATCAGTGCCAATGATGTGCAACTTAAATCCCAGGGCAGTACCCTTGGTTTCATTGGTATTTTTGCAGCTGTCCTTTATATATGCAAGTTAGAAGTGATTCTCCAAAACAAACTTTTATTGTTGAATACAGCTGGAAATAGTAACAATTTTGGCGGGGGGGGGGGAAGCACATTTGTTATGGGAAAATATTAAGAAATAAAGACTTTATAGATGGAAAGTACATAAGTGAGATAACTGGTGCCATTGTCTAAAAGTATTTATGTGATTGATTATTCTGCCCAGGGTATAATGAATGCTAAACTGAAAACTATGCTACAGCAGAGCAGTGCATCATTAATCTACATTAAGTCTCATTATAAAAATAAAAAATGTGTGACTGTGGCAAACTGCATTTTTCCAAGGTAACTTAGCTACACGTACAGAATTGTTTCAAGATGGTACTTCTCATCTAAAGTAAACATTTATTTACCAATTTCAAGAGAATTAGGATCATTTAGTTAGGTATGAAAGCAATTCATTGGGCCAATACATTTTTTACAGTCTTTGGTTTTGTCAGAAGTCCCACTGATTTTTCTCTGTTTGTTTCAAAATTAATGTGGATTCAATATTTTTGACATGGTAAAAATCAGAGTAACGGCTAGAATACTTGTAATCAACTCCCTGTTTTTTCACATGTGATACATTGTTCACATGTTACCTACTGACTTTTACCACTGTTTATTGAAATTGCCCAGCCTGACATAATGGTGTGTGTAACTTACCATATAAGATTATAGAACAGAAAAAGCAGTAAACAAGTATAGGCAATAATGCATTACATTTCACATTATGTGATTTGACATAGGAAGTGACAAATGCTGTTGGGGAGATTTAAAAGTTAGGGCTGAAACTAATGTATTTGGCCAATGTATTTTAACACATTGTCAGTATACCAGGGGATGACGGCTTCAGTATTTGTAATGATACTTTCCTTCTCACTGGGTGCGTCTGCATGTGCCCCTATGGCACAATTGTTACTGCACCATCATAAGGTACTTCCTTTTGGAAAAACTAAATGCCAGCTCAGTAACCACCCGTACTGCGCTGTCTGCATGGTGCACAGTTATTTTTAGCTGCTACGTTGCCGTAGCAATGTGTTATACCGAGGAAGCACATCCCTACAGTGACGTAGCTGTGATGTCATGGTTTTTGCCCGCCAATGCTATGTTGTCTTAGCATCACATGTAAATGTGCCCACTGTATTCTATGAAAGAATCCGTGACCTTGACCTGTGTGTTGACCTTTGTATCTGCAAATGGCTGGGTATAGAGAACAAGGATGATTTCTCAGTGTTGGCATTAATAGTACCAACTCCTTGGTTCCTATCAGAGTCTTTATGGCATATTTAAATATAAGTTTATATTTTGTAAGTAAGTCTTACAGTATAGTTTTGTGATTTGATAAATATGAAAAATCCAATCTGAAATTAGTATCTTTTAAGATCTCTAGTATTTTGACTGCAGTTTCATCATTCAATATTATATTTTTCTTCCCTTTCCTAAGATTGTATTTCTGGGCTTGACCTCATATGAGCGAATAAACCTCATAGTACAGAGCAAGTCATCTAAACAGCCTTTTTCACTCAGGAGAACTCCATACAAGTAAGTATTTTTGGTAGGAAGATATTTTAAGGAAATGGGATGAATCTGCGTGCATAGGCCCATGGTGAAAAGAAGATTTGCTAGGTGTTTGCTAAACATGTCTATTACATGACTTAGACAACTAGGATGGAATTTGACCAGCTGACTGACTTTCCTTCAGGGATTTTTCCCCACTCGTAAAGGGTAAAGCAGCACCATGGATGTTCTGACTATCACCAGGACTAGGCAAACATATTGGAAATCAGGAAAACATATTGAACTCTAGGGTATGGTATACGGTAAAAATATACCTTCTCTTTTTGTGGAATGTTTGTAGCCCATATTACACCTAAGCATAGAAGAGGATTCTATTCAACACTAATATTTTTAATTAGTGAATAGAGACATAATTGTACCTAGCATAAGAGATGAGGAATTCAAGATTTCTATTCTAACAGAAATGCTTGTGGCCAAATTCTCTGTTCTATTAAGTAACTGATATATGTACACACACTGAATAGATAAGGGGAAATAGTTTTATTTTTCTGGGTCTTTGTGCTTAAAATGCTTTTTCTTTAGTGCATTTAACCTATTTACTTTGTCTTCCTTTTCATTATTATTAATTGGTATGTCTCTCTTATTTCCAGTCAAGGATGTTTCCAGAATATTGCCGATTTTTTTCAGTGCAGGGGCTTTGGTATATTCAAGCCCAGTGCAGTTGACTGGACTAAGCAATATACTCTGAGTCATCCAGCAAAGGGTAAAAGCATCCATTCTGTCTGAAGAAAAGCAGCATGAAATTCTTGAGCTAAGCTGAAAGCTAAATAAAGCTGGATATTGTGTTTTGTTTACAAGTTCTTCTGAAATTTTCTTGCCTTAATTTTTCATAATGTTTCTACTGCTTACATAGTAAAAGTTTTATGTGCATAAACTACAGCAAAATAGATATGAAATAATTGCTGTGATTTTTAGATGAAACAATTTTAAATTTCCTACAACTGAGATGGTATTACATACATAGTTTACCAAAATAGGTTTTTATACAGCAACCCAAAAATTTTACGCAATACCTTTTGCTTCATTATGCAGACTGCTTCCATAAAAGATGCTTTTTTACAATTAAGGGAAATAAAATATTTTAATATTATTGAATTGGCTATTACAAAAAGGTTTAAAAGCACTGAAATCCTTTTAGAATTTTTGATAGCTTGTCTTTATATTGTATAAAGTAAACAGTAAATCTAAACACTGTTTTTGTACAGATTTAACATTTAATAAATTAGAGCATTTGTGCTTTCAAGTGTATTTTCTGGTTTTTTTTCCCCCAGCATTCATGGGAAATGTGAAATTTATACACTTAAAAAATCATTAAACATAACTGCAGCAAAAGGATAATGTGCTCTTAACTCTGAACAAGAAGAGATTAGTTTAATATGCACTTGCATGAACCACTGTTTAATGAAAATGGACACCTCAAGTAACCAAAATATAATGGTGAATGTAAAGGATAAGACTGTTACTTTACATTGTTTCAGGCTGCAGAGATGGGGCTTTAATAGTGGCCTATTTAAGGTTAAAGTGTTTAATGTCATACCTTGAGACTATATCTATAATCTGATGTAAAACATATTTAAGATGCAAAGTGGACTGCACACAATATTACGCCTATTCTGTCCTACTGGGTGTTTTTTGTTAAAATAGAAAAGACCAAAGGTGGTATGAATAGAGATAAGAAAACCTGCACAAATCAAGATCAGTAAACTAAAGATCAAAATAAAATATCTGACTAGCATTTTTCAGGTAAAACAGAACTCTTACAATTGGAATGGACATGGTTGTTTAGGTTAGTGTATGACATGATTATGGAGTCTTAAAATACAAGAAAATAGGTACAGTAACTTAATCATAGTGTGAAAGCAGTATCTACATTTTATTGTAGCTTAAAACACAGTAACAAAACTAGGTTTAATATCCTGTCTTGTTGTAAGAAAATGTAGGTTCATTTCCCCACCCAGAAGTCCTTCCTTTTGACAGAAAAAATTTTGGTGGTGTATTTGGTGGGATATACTTAGCTGGGAGAGGTGTTTACACAAGCTTTTGGGCACGAAGTGTTGGAATGAAAGAGTGGGATAGAATTGAAATCGTTAGCTAGTGTCACATTAGAAATGTGCAATTTGAATAATGTTTGCACTTGTGCAATAGCACCAGTATAACTTTATGATATGAGAGACAGTATAGATTATGGGCCAGATTCTGTTCTGTTTAGATTGATACAAATCCAGAATACCATGGTTTGACCCCAGGGTCATGGGATGATGATTTCTCTGTGCAAAGTGCACAGGGCTACTATAACTCCAGTTTTAAATAAATAGTCATTTGTTCACAGACTTTCATTGAACAGTATTATGTTCTATTCGTTTTAGAATAAACTTAAATCCAGTTCTGTCAAAATGTATTTTCTAACTACTTCAGAAATTCTCCTACGAGATGAAGGAACAATTTGAAAAAATGCCTTTTTTTAATAAATGCATCATTGTTTCACTTAGCCTGTTGCATTAGCAAAAGACTTGTTACAGAATTTTTCACTCCTTCTTTTCCACTTGAGTGAGGCCACCAAATCCAATTCCTTTGGGACCAAAATTCTTTGCATAGCAAACTGCAAAAAAAAAAAGTTTGGTAGTTAACATTTGTGTTATTTTTTGTGGTAAATGATAATATAAAGCCCTAATTTATAGTGAAGTACAAAAGCTAGGCAGGCTGTGAGAATTAAATGTGGATTTGTTTTCTCAGGCACATTCACAGATTCAATAGCATTTTTGTTTTTAAGGTAGATGAGCTTGCTAGTACAGCTTCAAATCAAATCCTTATCAGAATACCTTTTAGAACTGTAAAGTACCTAAAAACTCTAAGATACAACTATTAAAGTAGATTGCAAGCAAGAAGCATTAATGTAAATTAGAGAAAATGTGTATTATGGCCGGGATTTTCAAAGGAGCTCACAGGAATTACTGGGATTCAGTGCAGGTGTCGGTTTCGTTTAAATCAGTAATTCTCAGTGGGCTGCCATGAGCTCCTTTTGAGGGTGCCCTGGTGTGCAAGAAGATAAGCACTTTCTCTTCCCCAACTCCTATGCAAGATGGTATGAGTAGGCTCATCTCTGGGTAAGGTTTATGCTTGTCCTTGCCAGCCCTTGTGTGAAGTCTGAAGTGCTCATTCCTCCCCTCTCCCCAGTGTGAAGAGTTAAGTGCAGGCTTATTAGTGCCTGACTTCAGTGCAAGAAGGTAAACTCATGATGGTCCCTGCCCTTCTGGGCTGTGGGAAGTTAAGATTTTCTTCCTCATCCTCCTCACCCTATACTAGGAGATAAGCGCTGCAATAAACAAATTAATTATTGAATTGGGGGGCTGCTCAATTCACAGCAGTTACAGAGATTGCCAGGAGCCTAAAAAAGTTGAGAACCACTGGTCTAAATATTATTTTGCATGGTCAGTGTGCCCATGAGTGATGAGCAAGTCCTGCAGATGAAAAGACTTTCTGTTTTTAGAAAAAGAATTAGAAAAAGACTATTCTAATATAATAAAGGGCTTCGTCTGTCTGTCTGTCCATAATGCTTTTGGCCAACTGTGCCTGTGCCGCCGAGGGCAGGCGGTGATTGGCTGCATGGGCCCAAGTTTGAGCTGCTGCTGGGGAAGTTTATGGCAGTGGCGAACACACCCTGGTCACCTGAGCAGCAGGTCTTCCCCATGCCTCCCTGCCAGAGGGTGAAGTTGGGGGGGGGGGGTCATGGTGGTCCCTGACACCCCCCAGAACAGCCAGCAGGGAGGGGGAGGCAGCGGGTGTGGCGGGAGGGAGGGGAGTGGGGCAGGGGGAGGTGAAGGGGGGGGCATGGTGGCAGCCATTGTTAGGCCCAGGCAGGGGGGAGGGGGGCAAAGAAAGGGAGGGAAGCAGGGACAAGAGTGGGGTCACGGTGGCAGCACCTGCCCGCTGCCCAACCCCAACAACAGCCGACTGGTTGGGAGAGGTGGTGGGGAAGGATGAGGGGAGCAGGGAGGGGAGGTGGGAGGAAGCCCTGCTGTGAGGTGGAGGCAGAGGCGGGTGGGAGGAGGGATCCCCTGTGCTGGAGGCTGGAGGAGGTGATGGCAGTATAGGGAGTCTTTACATGGCTGGCCCCAAAGGCTGAGGGGGGGCCATGTAAACACTTCCTGAAATCCATCTTTCTTGACAAGCAGTTAGCTAGTTATTTAAATATTGTCAGTAGAAGATGTAATATTGGTGTACCTGTGGGTCTTATATAATTTAAAGAACCTATTGTAGAGGGAAGAAAGTGAAATACATTTTCAGAAAAATTTTGTTAAGGGGTGTAACAAAGGTAGTACTGTGTCAACATTGAACGGTTTTAGACTCGTATATTTAGCTGTCTTGTCTGAAATACTTTAGATATATGACAGTGCTTACCTTTACAATACAGTTCTCCATCTTTGTCTGTAACATTTGTCGATTCTAAGCTCTTTCCACAAATGGCACAGCGGAAGCATGTCTTATGCCAAGGCTGAGAAAGATAGGAAGTTTGGAAGAAAAAAAAATAGCCAGCTACATCAAATAATTTGGACAAGTAACGTACATTTTCTTTGCCTGAAAAGATTAAAAGTTGTGCTTCTTTCATTTTCAGTTATTTTAGTCATTCTCAGCCTATATTTTTAGGACTTTAGATCTTGTAACAAGTTTTAGGAGATTATGTATATTAACCTGCTCTCTTTGTAGTAGAAGTAGTGTCATGGCCCTGCACAATAGATCAAGCCAGATTTGAGTGCCCGGGCAGCAGGCAAGGGCCACATGGAGCCCTGGAGCCTAATCCTGGGCAGTAGCACAGGGACCCCAGAGCCCAATTTAACTCACAGGGTCAAAACCAAGGGCACACTGATTAAGGCCATATACCAGAGTGTCCATAACTATGTTAAATGCATGGATACAGGGTGCCATATCTCTCCCTGATTATAAAATAATTTAAAGACAAAACGTCAACACCAACAAATTCCTTTGAATTCATTTTTTTAAAGTGTAGAACTTAAACAGTTGAGATTGATAATGAGAGAGTTTTTCATTTTAAAGTATCTAGTTCAAAGTTGTCCCCAGGTCAATAAGTCCAAAACCAACTACCATCTAGTATCTTTTTAATAGCCTTTGTGAAATTGTTGGAACAGCCGAGAACTAGTAGAGCAATGAAGACAGAATTATGTCACAAGTAGATGCTTGAGGTATGGATTCTGGTATATTGGCACAGCAAAGCAGAGTAGCTTGAAATATTACTCTCTATGTGGCAGCTTATCTATGATTTAAAGAAGACTTCCATATTAAGGACCATCTATTTATTTAATTCAACAGAATTTTAAAACCAAACAGCTTCAAAATATTTTTTTCTTAAATGAAAAAAATGTGATATCTTACTTTTCCTCCTCCCATGATTTTCTCTGCAGCATATACTGATTTGCCACAGCGAGGGCACTTCTCCACATCTCCAAACTTTTTGGCAAACTTTGAAGGGTTGGTAGGTGTAGAAGGACGAGCAGGCTTTGGCGAACTTCTGAAAACATATTTAAAACACCACTTGAAAAATAGTGTTTCCATTATAAAAATAATTTTCTCTATTTCAATATATACTATATAGACTCTTAAGTGTTAATCCACAATTATGCATTGAATCTCAGGATATCTATCCTGACATTCAAGGCAAGAAAATCAAAATAGCCTGCAGCATATTCTGTTTGACAGTGCTGAGAAGCTGGCATTGTGACTAAAGCAGCTGGATACTACATTGGTGGTACCGAGTAATAGTTGGACAAAATACTACGCATCAGCCAAAGGGAAGACATTGGCTTCATGAAAGAGACAACATGAGACAAAGGGAAATACAAAGCAAAATTGCTGTCTAATCAGCTACCTGCTGGGCGCATCTACACAGGATGCTATGCCGTAGCTTGTTGCTAGAGCGACATAGTATTGGTGGGCAGGAACTGTGACTCCAATGCTACTACACAGTAGCAACCAGCTATTGCACACTAGCTTGTTATGGTGCAGTAGCTTGTTATTCCACAGTAGGGTCAGAAACAACCCATTCACTGCTGGGGCTGTTCAGTAGCAGTGATCACTGCACAGTTATTTTGTACTAAATGTAAAGCAAGTACTAAATCAGAGGTGGGTAAAATACAGCCCATGGGCCACATCCGGTCCACCAGGCCATTCTATCCAGCCTGTAGGGCCCCTAAAAACTTTAGTAAATTAATATTTATTCACTCCTGGCAGCCTGTCAAAGCTGACAGGAGCCAGGGGCAGTAGGACCCAGAGGGACCCCTCAGCAGGCTTGAGCAGCTCAGCCCTGCCCAACCCCCAACCAGTTCCCTGCTTTCGTGCCCCCACCCTGCTCCAGCAGCACCTGGCTCCTGGCTGCATCGCCAGACCATGGAGCTCGGGCGCAGGGGTGTATGTGTAGGCTTGGGCAGATTGTGTGTGTGTGTGTGTGTGTGCGCGCAGGCTCGGACAGTGTGTGCATGCAGGCACAGGGGCAGTGTGTGCATGTGTGCAGGCGCAGGGCAGATTGTGTGTGTGCGGGCTCAGGGGCTGAGAGTGTGTGTGTGTGTGTTCACAGGTTGAGTCCCACATGCACACCCCACCATACACATGTACCCACACCCTCCCTTGCACTGCCATACACAAACCCCAGGCACCGTCCCCCGACAGACCCCACACCCACCCACATCCCACATATCCACACACACCCACTTGCTCCCTCACCCCACATACCCACACACCCACAGCCTTCACAAACTTATACCCACCCCCACAACATACAAGAATAAGACTTCATTTTAAGCTATTGTGCGATCACCTCTGCACTACACAAACGCATGTAAATCAGGACAAAAATATTTTTTTAAATCAAATTAATGAAAGTTGTAGATGTTTGATTTTATATATATAAGTGCACAATATAATTTGGTAATTTTTGGTAATTACAAAAATGCTGTTGAATCTGTGAATGTGCCTGAGAAAACAAGTCCACATTTATATTGCACAATATAATTTGGTATTTTTCTGGTTCTGAGATGGCAAAACCCCTTGCTGAAAGGAGCACTTCTGGGGACAAGGGGAGGGACTTCTGGTGGCAAAGGTCAGGTGTTAGAGGATGGAGCTTCCAGTCACAAGACAGCGGCCAGGGCAGGGCACCTGTCAATGGGTGGGGCTACCCATGCGGCGCTTGACAGCTTGCCAAAACTCAGTAAGTGACCCTGCGCCTGAAATAATTGTCTGCCCCTGTACTAAATGCTAAAGCAAATACTAAATGACTGTGCAGTAACAACTGCACATTTGGGGGCACGTGTCGACACGCCAGCTGACACTTAATAGTGAGAACCATGAAATAGGAGGTGGATTTCACACACTGTCCTTTCTCTGCTCTTTGTAAAGCTTCATCAAGTTTTACTGATTTTCAGAAAGTATGCTGTGTCAAAGTCAGAAAACTATTTTCAACCTTTGTTTCTTTCCAGTGTTGGGTTTTAGTCATCCATGGGGTGACCTTTGAATTACGGGATTGTCATACTGCAACAAGTCAGTAAATGTCTAGGAGCTCAGGATTTCCTAGTTTGCATCTTGCTATTGGTAACAGATGTGCCTATGATTATGGGTTACAGATAAAATATGTCCTCCAAACTTGTACTTTTTAGAATAGGATATTTGTTAACTGTCTTTATTGCAATGTACCAGAGGAAAGTGATGGAGTCATTTAGAAATTAGCAGCTTTGAGAATTACTGAAAACTATTATGTAAACAATTAACACAAGCAATTATCTACAATTAGGGCTCTCTAGAGAACATATTCAAATCCCCCCTCTGGGTCACATACCCTCAGCCATTCTGTACATGGTACATGACGGATGAGAGGAAATGTAGAAAACTTTTTCTCTGTACAGGGAAATAGTCTAACAGCACACGATACTGTGAGTTTTCTATATTAATAAAATCAAAGATATTTCGCATAGAGGGGTATAAGCATTTGAGTCTATTGTTCCATGATGAACATGATTCTACCATTGTGGCACTAATAGCAAATTACATTTACAGTGAATATCTAGCTCTAATGACATGTAAAGCAAAAGCTCCTTCTGTAGTGTAATTGCCCAACGGAATAAGAAATTATTTTAAAAGAAGAGACTGAACATTATTAAAAATTGGTAGAATTACTAGACCCACTAAAGAAAATCCTGGAGGAGAGTCTGCTCTGCCACTTAAGTTCAATGTTGTTATGGAAACCGAGTAAGGTACCTGATAAGTGGAGAATGTACCACTGTGGGGAAAAAAGGTATTGTCAGTGCAATTTAACTCACTGTTGTAGATCCAAGCCTAGATGTTCACCGGTATCAGTGCTGAGGCATCCTGCCCCTTGTCCAAATCCAATACCTTTGGGGCCATATTTTCTTCCATAACAGGTTTTGCAGTAGATTTCAGATTCGTGAGCTGCTACTGTGGTACTATCCAGAGCTTTTCTGCAAGCCACTGAAAACATGGGGAAAGTGCATATAGAAATTTGTATTCACAAACCTGGTTTAACATACTTCAATGATTACAATATAAATAATTTTTCTAGTCCTGGAAGTGGTTAGTATACATAAATAAACATTATACCTTCATCTAGGATACTGGATTCATTTCTGGTTGCCCTATAAAAAGAATATAGGAAGAGGGGAGTACTAATATATAGTGTTTGAAGGGGAAATGCATTGAATCTAAGTTGACCCCCAATAATTATGCTCTATATAGGAACACTTATAAATTAGTTATAATTTTCCAAGTACAGAATCTAATTATCAGAGGGTTGTTTTGAATTTGTCCCATTCCCGTGTCTGTGGGGGAGGGTGTGGGTGTGGGGCAGGGAAAATAGTTGCTGTAGGGCACAGGTGGCCCCCTGGCTCTCTGCCCTTCATGCTTTGTTCCTTGCTGTCTCCATGCTGACTGAGGGGGGAACTCATCTTAGATTCAAGTAGATACAATATTTGCAAATTAACTTTATTCCATGTCCATATCTACGGGCTTTCACTGAAATAGCATACATACACGTTAATAAATAATAATGGAACCTTATAACCTTCTTAATCTTCTCTTCATTGCATCCTATGAAAACATTCAATCTCTGTGCAAAACTTCATTTAGCACTTGTGAGTTCACCATGCAGAAAACTATGGTTTGTTTGACCAGTGTTCTTACGGATTTCATAGACATTAGGTCTGGAAAGGACCTTAGGAGATAAATTCCAGCCGCCTGCCCCAAGGGCAGGAAGTCAGTCAAAGGATCCCAGCAAGATAAACGTCCAAACACTTCTTAAAGGAGTCCAGAGTAGGTGCTTGCACCACCTCTGGAGGAAGTCTATTCCAGGCCTTGGGGGCTCGGACAGTAATGAAGTTTTTCCTTATATCCAGCCTAAAACGGTCTTGGAGGGTTTTGTGACCATTGGTCCTTGTCATCCCTTGGGGTGCTCTGGTGAACAAACGTTCCCCCAGATCCTGTTGTACACCCCTGATGTACTTATAGGCTGCCACCAGGTCACCCCTAAGCCTGTGCTTTTCCAGGCTGAAGAGTCCCAAGTCTCACAGCCTCACTTCATAAGGCCTATTCTCCTGTTCTCTGATCATGCGTGTGGCTCTCCTCTGGACTCTCAAGCTTCTCCACATCCTTCTTGAATTGTGGAGCTCAGAATTGGATACAGTACTCCAACTGTGGCCTCATCAAGGCCAAGTACAGCGGGAGGATGACATCCTGAGATTTACTTGAGAAGCATCTATGGATGCAAGCCAGAATTTGGTTTGCTTTACCAGCTGTGACATCACACTGGTGGCTCATGTTCATCTTAGGGTCAATCATGACCCCCATTCTTCATTTTTCATTGATCTCCATTTCATTTTAGGCACTTAGTTCCTTCTCCTCACCCAAGGTGAGGAGCACTAGCCTAGAGGCATATTTTTTGGGCCTGGCAGAACTAGTCATGGAACCTCTACTACACCTTTAGAAACCTTTTGGGTCTCTCTCCCATCTCATCCCAGACATTAGAGCAGTTATTCTCAACCAGAATGCCTTGAGACTCAACAGTGCTATACAATGCAATCAAGATTCATAAAACGAACCCAGAGATTTCACAGAGGAATACATAGTGTCAAAAACATTTTGACTTCTGATCTTTCTGAGTTCATTGCAACAACAGAATTGCCCTACTATTTTTCTGTAGTCAAAAAGCAAGTAAAGCAAGAGCTGGCATTTTCCAAGGGGTGCTTCAAGTCTATCAGGGAGTGTCTCCTGTCTAAAAAGGTTGAGAACCATTGCCTTAGAGGCATTAAAAAGTTTCGACATTGAAAAAGAAACATAGTTCACCAGCACATTTCCATTAGTCACTGATATGCTTTCAGTGTCCAGAGAAAACTCAGAGAGGAAGTTTTGTTAATTTCTCTGAACATCTATCTGGACACGTTTAAATTCTGAAGCAAGAATCATCCCAGGTATCTTTCCAGAGTTTCTCCAGAATGGTCTGGAAGAGATTCTACAACCAAGCACTGAAGAAAGTTAGGCAACAGACCTCAGTACTTTGGCTTCCCCAGTGGCATTCTTATGCCACTTAACTCACTACTAAAACACTTGGAGTTCTTCAATCAAGAAGTGGAACAGGCATGCCAAGTATTGGTAATGGGATACAACATTTTATCTGCTAGGCTACTACTTTAAATCTATCCTGACAGGAAGAGACAAAGGTTAACAAGAGCTAACAGCTGTTTATTAGTGGTCTCAGGCCAGTTCTCAGTGAACAGGTGTCCACTTTATAAAAAACCCCTATCACAATTACTGCTAATTAGCACCAATGATGCCAGTCTCATCAGGGGAGCCAGGGAGTGAATAAGCACTGTGAGTGAATGACCTAATCCTACAAGTTATCAAATCAGGTCAGGACACTTTAGTGGTGGGGAAGTTAAGGATGGCTATAGGTGGGGCAAGTTAAGGATCCCCTTCAGATATGGAATTCAGATATGAAAAATGCAAAGCCTTAAACTAGCAAAAAGGTAGGCATGTATTTCAAAAGTGACTAGTAATTTTAGGTACCTTGATTTTTTGAGAACCCAACTTGAGATACTTTGAATGGGCTTGATTTTTCAGAAAGCAAATACCCACCCATAGACAAGGAGACCCTTTTAATAAGTTTCAAGTTGGGCACTAAAATTGAGCTATCCAAAAGTACCTACCACTTGTGAGAATGTGTGCCAGAAAAAAATGGGTAGGAATGGGTCCATTATCAAATGTCATTTGGAAAAACACCAGCTGTTTATCAAGGCTGGTACCTAATTCACACATGGACTATGGGTATTTTGAGAAATAAGATGGCTTAGCTCACAGAACCAGAAAAAATATTAAAGGAACAGTGGGTGCATCTACATGTGCAATTAATGCGAAGCAATAGACTCTGGAGTTATTGCTTTAGAGTTTATTGCTCCTGGGTGCGCCTTTTGAATATGCACCGGAGAGTGCAGCATGTTGAACCAAGTCAGAGCATCCCCAGCTGGCAGTGGGTCCAGGGAGCTGGCCTACCAGCTTGGGGCTGCTCCCTCAGGCTCAGTGTGCCACAGAGGATATGGCTGGAGCCGGCGGTAGCCCCTGCACTGAAGCACCCTCATACCCCAGCCAGCTGGGGCAGCATTTACACATGCACTGCTGTGGAGTTTTTTACTCTGCAGCAGGATAGTACTTTTATTTACCAGTACTATCCCGCTGCCAAGAAAATTAGTTTACTGTATCCTACCAGGGGTGTATATGTAGATGCTACGACATATACTGCACAGCTAATTAATCTACTGTACACTAAACATCTCGTGTAGACATGCCCAGTGAGGATTAGATTGTTGGGAGTTCATACTCCACAACAGTTGGCTGGTTATTTCCAATTATTTTAATATTTGTGAGAGGGGTGTTAAAAAAATATAAGCAAAAGTAATTGATCAAATGGTCGCACTGCAGGGTCTGATCAAAACCTTGAAGTCAATGGGAATCTCATCACCATCACAAATGCATACTGGATTAGGCTCTAGTTACTGGTAGGCAATGAAGGGGCAAAAATAGAAGAAGCTATGTAGCAAAAAAAACAGGCCTTGTGCAATTTCTTTTTTTAAATAATGGTGATAAAACTAGAGGCTTCTGTAAATTTGTGAATCAGATCACTTTGTGGTGCATTCTCATTTGCTCTGAGATGATAATTATGTTTACTGAGGGAGTTAAGGGATGATGGGAACTCAAGCAGCAGATAAAATGTTTCTATTTCTGGCATCTTAAGGATAGAGTATCTATTTGCCACAACAGATGGAGCAAAAGCCCTTGAAGTGCTATTGTTGAAATAGCTCTGGGACCTGTCATCTGCAAAGAGAAATTGTTCATAAACCATCACTAAGCCGTTTCAGGTTTACATAGTAAGATCCTGCCAAATGTCCATTATAGCTGTGTTTTAAAACCTGACAGTGAAACAAAGTAGGTAAACAGTAATTCACATGTGAGGTACAGTTTTCTCCTGCCCTCCACCCTCCCCATAGTATTTATAAGACAAATAGTATGGGGTACAGGTAGAAATGTTTATAATTCAGGTTGCCTCACACGTCTCATAATCTGATTTTAAGTTCCTTATAAATTGGTCAAAAATAAGTTTGAGTTAATATTTTTCATGCTTAGGCCACATTTATTCATTTAATTTTGCAAAATCCAGCTAAGTGGGCTCAGCAGTTTTGAAAGATAGTTATCCTTGTCAGAGTTAGCATTAAGGAGTACATGGCTCCACATGCTAGACTGACATAGAGATGACACTCAGATCCCTGCTCAGCTGCCACCTACTCTGCAGGTACCTAAAATTCCTAGAAGCCTGGTTTTCTACTGATAATGTAGGAGGTATCCATAAAATCACTTAAATTCTGACACCACTGATCTGCTTAGAGCCCTTCACAGGATTCTTAACCAAAAGGCTTCCCCAAGTAGCTGAATGTAGAGCCAGATCCAGCCCACCAGCCTATTCTATGTGGCCTGCAGGGCCCCTAAAAAATTTAGAAAATTAATATTTATCTGCTCCTGGCTGCCTGCCAAAGATAACGGGAGCCAGGGGAATTAGGACCCCAGGGAAGCTGGCAGGACTCAGCAGCCCAGAAGCAAGGCCAGCCTGGCCCTGCCCTGCCCTAGCCCCATCCCCCCCAGCCCTGCCCCCGCAGATGGAAGCCCCGTGCTTAGCAGAGGCTTCTGGCATTGGGCCCTGGCACTGTTCCTGCCTCATAGATTCATAGATTGTAAGGGGCGGGAAGGGACCTCAGAAGATCATTGGGTCCAGCCCCCTGCACCAGGCAGGAAAGACAGCTGGGTTAGGTGACCCAGCAAGGTGAAGATCTTGAAGATCTCCAGGGTAGGTGATTGCACCACTTCTGAAAGGAGCTTATTCCACAGTCTGGACACTTTAACTGTGAAGAAGCTTTTCCTAATTTTGAGCCTGAAATGGTCTTCCAGGAGTTTGTGGCCATTACTCCTGGTTTTTCCCAAGGGTGCCCTGGTGAACAGTTGTTCACTGAGCCCTTGATGTATTCCCCCGATATAGCGGTAAGCTGCTACCAAGTCCCCTCTCAGCCTTCTCTTTTTCAGGCTGAAGCGTCCCAGGTCCCTCAGCCTTTCCTTTTATGGTTTGCCAAGCAAGTCTCTGATCATACAGGTGGTTCTTCTCTGGACTCTCTCAAGCTTTACCATGCCCTTGTTCAAGTGCAGCGCCCAGAACTGGACACAGTACTCCAGTTAGGGTCTCACCAATGCTGAGTAGAGCAGAAGAATCACTTCCTTGGTTTTGCTGGCCTCCCTGAACCCGAGAGGGAAATTCAGATAAGAAGGCTGAGGCGGGGCAGGGGAAGAGAAGGCAGGGGAAGGCCGTGGGGATTGCCTCAGTCCTGCAGGGTCTGGCACCAGCTGTGCTGGAGTGGGGGCAAGGGCCAGCGCTCCCGCTGCTCTGCTCTGGGCCCCACTGGGGCTGACCCTGGGACACCGGCAAAGGCCCCGTGCTCCTGCCCAGCTGTCACTGCACTTCCCTGCACCCGCTTGCTCCCACTCCCCACCGTCATAGCTGCCATTTCCCTGCTTTCCTGCCGGCTGCTCCAGGTACCAGGTCCAGGAGCAGGAGGGGGGTGTGTGTGTGTTTGTAGGGTGAGTCCCACACCCCTTTGCACTGCCATACAGACCCCATTACCTATACCCCGTCACACATCTCAGCCACCCTCCACCCCACACACAGTCCCCCCAGAAACCCCATACCCACCCACACCTATATATCCACACACTCCCTCACCGCTCACACCTATCCACCCCCACAGACATACCCACACACTTCCCCACATACCCACACACCCCGCAAACCTATACCCCCCCATGTCCCCCCACCCCCCACAATATAAGAGAGTAAGACTTCATTTAAAGCTATTGTGCAATCAACTCTATGTAAATCAGGACAAAAATCTTTTTTGATATCAAATTAATGAATGTTGTGGATGTTCGATTTTTAGAATATAATTTGGTATTTTCTGGTTCCGAGATGGCAAAACCCCTTGCTGAAAGAAGTACTTCTGGGGACAAGGGGAGGGACTTCTGGTGGCAAAGGTCAGGGGTTAGGGGGTGGGACTTCCAGCCACACGACAGGGCACCTGTCAAAGTGCAGGGCTACCCATGCAGCCCTCAACAGCTTACCAAAACTCGGTAAGTGGCCCTCCACCTGAAATAATTGCCTGCCCCTGATGCAGAGAGTCATTTTCAGAGCATACCACTGGCAGGCGAAGTCTTCACACACACGTCACACAAACATCAGCAGACAGATTATAATTTTGGAACACTTTGGCTGCTTTTGGGACATTTCAAAGGGCATGTACCTTTGTAAAACTGACCATTTCAAACGTTTCAAAGACGGCTGAAATATTTCAATTTCAAAAGTTTGTGTCCACATCTTTAAAGGCAATGTGGGACTAAAAATCACAGCCCCAAACCCATGCCTAGATTTGGGTGCTCAAGCTGCTGCTTAATGTATAGTCAGTTGGCTCTTTTTTTTGAGGAGATAGTTGTGACCTTTTACATAATGACCTAGTGCAGTGGTTCTCAGCTGTGTCAGATTTAAGGCCCCCCCTAGGAAAAATACCAGCTTCTTGTTTTGTGAACTACGGAAAAATAAGAGCAATTCTTCTGTAGCCGAGATCTCAGAAAGACCACAGCAGGTCAGAATGTTTTTGACACTATGGATTCCTATTTGAAATCTTTGGGCTTAGCTTGTGAATCATGTTCAAGTGTTTGCCCACCTGACACTGCTAATATGACACAGCACCCCATGGCACCCTTAAAAGGATCATGTACGCCCTGGTTGAGAATCTCTGACTTAGTGATTAGAATAGTGTCTCAGACAGTGCCAAATATGAATTGAAGGCCCTCTTCACCTGGAGAGGGCTCGCTGCTCTAGAGTTCATAGGACAAATAATATGTCCCAGAAGAATGCCCTAACCACCAGGACTTAGGACATGTTCAGATACGGGCACTCTACTCCTCCTGTTGAAGGTAGACCAATGTGCAGCCAATAGTGCCTGAGAGAGAGGCTGTCTCTTTTTTGCTGATTCCAGCCAAGTGGTGAGAGCACCCTCCTGGCAGGGTTTCGCGTCCTGGATTCTGGTCCCTGCACCCAACACCATTTAAGTATTTTGCCTGAATGAGTCATTGGATTAAATTCATAAACAGACCTGGCTCAGGGGCCAGCAGTCAGGACTTCATTCCCCACCACAACCAGGACTGCCCATATTACTGGGATGCAAAGTCAGACTCCCTGAAGCTAGTTCTCTGTAGGGTCCCATGAAATGGAAAGAAATGCAGCTCCACCAGGGAGAAGGGAGGGACATCTTAGCCATACCGCCCTTCTCTAGGAAGTGAGAGATGTGAGTTTTAATCCCATCAGCATGACTAGGTTTATATCCCAGGCTTACCGCTTTTGCAGCTAAGTACTCTAACAATTTGGGCATTACCTCATCCTCGTACAAAGGAAGTGGCTTGGGCCGCAGCACTCTGCTGTCAATTGATGTCAGTCTTGCTCCGAGCAAGCCAACCCAATCAGACCCTTCGGGGAATTTATGTGC